AAAATATTTATTTTCTCAACATAGGAAAGATCTTCGTTAATAAATATCGAATAAATAATATCGAGCAAATATGACCGTTCATAAGATGAATCAATAAATCAATAAATAGCTAGGAAAGAATACTGAAAGACCAAAGAGCATATCACAATAAGACTGAAAGACTAGAAACACCGCTGAACATGAGGAAAGCGTTTCAATCTAGATCAGAATCGTCGGGCATCAAAATCAGTCCTGTTCCAGGCTGGTAGCACCCTGGAACGGTGAAATTCCAAAAATATCAATTACACTACCAAAAGCTCCTCCGAACCTTCGTGTCTCGGCCTCCACTGGGTGGAACATCCGACGGATTGTTGAAAAGTCGCTCGAGTCGCCGTTGAGCAGGACCGCGATTACCAGCACCCGGAGAGTTCCGATCGAGTTCAGCTGGGGGCTGGAAAGAGGCCATTTACGAGATTCCATTAGTCAAGATAGCCCTAAATGCCACCTACCTGGTCCTTTTTCTCATATGTACCAAACAGTGAATCACGTCGATTCTCCAGCGCCCGGATGGTTCCCTTTGTGAGGGTAACACGTCGTCGACTGCCTCGCGTTGAAAATTCGGCGCCATCTTGTGCTGCCTCGCTGGAGAGGGCAAAGAACCTGCAAATCACTGCTTGTCACTCGACAGATGTGTGTCCGAGGGAAGCCTGGTTGGTCCTGGAACTTTCATCGACCCGTTACGGGTACTGTAACGCACCTTTTCTTGAACGCAGCATCCAGTGTCTCTGTTTTGCGCTTCATCAGTGAGATCCGTGATGATTCCAAGTTCTGCACCACTCGGCGGCGTCCGATCTGTTCTCCCTGCAAAGTAGGAGATAACCCTGGTACCGTCCTATCGGAATCCTAACTCCACGTCGCGAGGAGAGTTGGGGGAGAATAGACAGACGGCCCATCAATTTAGGCAAATCATTTCAGCCCCCAAGGTAGCCAGCTGATTTTCACTTTGATTTTTACTACCCTGCCAAAACTATTAAAAAAGACGGAAGTTAAGGAGACCCAGTAGCTGGTAGACTGGTGGACAGACTGTCATCATAAACCGCTTGCCGGAAGTGCCCCACCTACCCTCTGCCAGATACTGAGGACAGCTTACCATCTGGCCGAGCTCTCGTGACTCGTCCACTCCACGAATCGCCTGTAACTCTCGAGCGATTTCGACCGCATTCTGCACGACCAGCTCGTCTTCACTCAGCTTTCCCACTGTTTTTCGGAAGCAGAACAATTCCGTTGAGGCGATAATGTGAGCCAATGTGCCAAAACGATGGCACAACATTGCGATGAACTGAAAAAAAATCTTCATAGTTGGAAAATAAAGTTCTATTTGATGTTATCCCTTCAGTTTGGCGTTGGTTGCTGTAGGCATCAAAAATGAGGGGAAAGTATATGAGGAACAGCCTTTGCGCCGCAAATGGAAAGCCCCCTTCTGTGCCAGTTTTTGCGTCAGAAAAACTTTGCAAGGAGGCGCACGCTGTAACGTATAAGGTTGCGGGTAGACGGACAAGAGAATCGTATATTGCCGCTCCGCCGCGCGCGGCGATAGGCGCGGTGTTTACTTCACTCGTGTTAACCTCTTAACTCGTGTTAACCTGTCCATTAGAGCACGCGGACTTCATGTAGACCCCGTCATCGTAGACATTCATGATATTATTTCGCGGTTCTGAATTGCCCTTTTGTCGCCATCTACTACCTAAAGGCCTGGCGCGAGCGCGAGCGCCCACTAGCGTGGCGAATTATGTTCACTTTCACATAACCCGCAGGGCGGGTTCACAATGTCTCATCCTACCGTGCAAGTCCTGTCATCTACCAACTGCAAACCCTCTGATCAGTACCCTGCAGAGTCACCTGTCAAGCTGGCGAAATAGTACTAGCATCATTACTAGCATCATTGGAAAGCCATTTCTTCATGTTTTTCTCCAAATCTTGGCCGGTCGTTTTGACAAGTTTGACAGGAGTTTACAGGGGACACGACAAATGATAAGAAGTGTTGACAAGGCTTGCCCGTTGTTCAGCATACTGCTATACAGCTACACAGGAAATGGTATGCTGAAAAGCGTTTTTACAGGGGTGCTTTCCTCCCCCCCCGCTCCGCCCGCGATCGTATTTCTCGTCTGCGTGCTCTCTCACTACTTTTGTCTAGTATATCGCCTGAAATCTCGGCGGGTCAGGTGGAAATGGGACACTTCAAGAACTTTTGGTTGAAATTTTGATCCCCAGCAGTTCGATTTCCAGAACAAAATATGACATTCGTTCTGCAGCAGAAGCATTCGCGTAGGCGAAAAAGGCGTCGGCCTCAAAACAAGTCAGACCACAAGTTAGAGATTTGTTTTCGGTGGTACTTTTGTACTTTTAACATCTCAGATGTGGATGTGCTCCCGTTACAGGCGCGTGTTCTCTTCTAGCCCACCGGTTACTAGACATCTGTCAACCGGATGCTCTCTCGCTTCGTGGGTCCAAGAGTATTTTCGTCGCATCTTCTGGTCCGCATTCAGAGGGAAGGAAATAAGAAAGAGAATGACAGAAGAAAGGAAGAAAAAAAGGAAGGAGGAAGGAAGGAGAAGGAAGGCTCCGCGGTTGACAGATATCCGGAGACCCGCTGTAGAGTACGGTATCAGCCGCAAATATTCGGAATCTCTCACCTGGATAATGAGGATGCTCATGAAGAAAATGAGAAAGACGAAGCCAAGCGGTTCCAATTGCAGTCGTGTCACCACCCAGATCTCCTGAACAGTTGTTTAAAGACATTTCGCCAACAGTCATGCGGGCCAAATTGCACCACAACCAACTTCACACCAGATCCAATATAAATTCATGATCTCTCCGAAGAGCAGGGCGTGTAACCGGCTGTACTGGACCGCTGACCGCTGCCATTTCCGCCAATAATGTCATTCTGTGTCCACAACAGTTGGCGGGAAGGCCTGCCCAGGCTGCGCGCCAGTTCAAGCCCCTTCACATGCCCTATCGTTCGCAGTGATCATAGCTGTAGAAGTGCTATAGCTTGTCGAATCAACGAGTTAGAAAGTACTCTGCTAGCTTCTGCGTGTCGTCTGAACGCACGTGTCGACGTGATGCACCACCCCCCCCCCTGCCCCGCCCCCTCGGAAAACGCGTTTTACACAGATAATAAGAACGCTCAGACTCAGCATTCCACATCAAGGTTCACCTCCTTAGTGTCACCATGACAAGGTCGAATAGTGTGATTGTATTTGGGTCCAATAGGCCATTCGATATGGAGGCAATCTTTTTGTAATTGTAGCACCAGAATGACAATGATGAAGACGACATTTACCATGAAGAATGACGACACCACCTTGAAATGAGAGGCATTTCAGGAAGTAAGAACAAATGGGCTAAATTCTGTGAC